AGTTCACTTGGTTATAGCAGCTCCTTGCTGCCTCTTCCCAGAGAAGACCAGGGATCCTTCAAAATGGCGGGGCCTTCCGGCTGCACAGGGAGAAATTCCCTGATAAGTTGCTTACCGCCCGCTGTAGCTGCTTGCTTTCTGTCCACAGCACTGTAACCTTCTGCTCCACGTTTCTGCACTGCTTAAGGTTGTTCATCCACACTCATGTTCACTCACACTCTCACACTCACTCACACTCTCACACTCCTCCTTGCTCTGATCCTGCTTGCTGCCATCTTCCTCTCTGGAACCCTTAAATTATCTTCATGCTTTTAAATCATATTTTCTTTTTGCTTTTCAGATTGGGCAATTTTTCTATCTTATCTTCTAAATCAGTGATTCAGTATTCTGCTTCATCCAACTTTATACTTATTCCTTCCAGTGTATTATTTATTTCTACTATATCATTCTTCATTTCTGACTGGTTATTTTCCATGGATTCTATGTTACTTTTCTTTCTATTGCACATCCTTATTACTATTACTTTGAACTCTGTTTTGATAAATTGCTTGCCTCCATTTCATTTAGTTTTTTTTCTAGGGATTCTTCTTGGACTTTTATTTGAGGCCTCTTTCTTTGTTTTCCCATTTTGGCTGTCTCTTTGTATTTTTTTTTTTTTTATGTATTAGATAGAACTACTATGACTCCCATTTTCAGTGGAGTGGCATTTTGTGGTAGGTGTCCTGTGGGATCCAGTGGTTTAGCCTCCTTGATCTCCTGAGCAGGATGCTCTAGGAATGTCCCTTGTGTGGGTTATGTGGGCCCTCCTGATGTATTTGGGTCTTGATTGCTGTTGTCCCATTCATGGGTGGGCTCAGCCCTCAATCTGGCTGACTGAATTTCAGCCCTGGCCACATCAGCTCTGATGTTCAGGTGCTGACAGAACAAAACAAACCAAAAAAGAAAACAAAAACCCAACAACAGCAAATGTAACAACAACAACAGCAACAACAAAGGTATAAAAAAAGAAAAAAATAAATAAAAGACAAGAGACAAAAAGAATAAGAGAAAAATATATGAAAGGAAAGAAGAAAGAGAAAAAATAAATTAAAAATTAAAATATATGTCCTGGCTGATTTGGCTCAGCAGTTAGAGCATTGGCCCATGGATCAGAGAGTCCTGGGTTTGGTTCCTGCTAAGGGTACGTACCTTGGTTGCACTTTGTCCCCAACCATGGTTGAGGTTGTGTGGGTGACGACTACTCAATGTGTCTCTCTCATATCGATGTTTCTCTCTCTCTTCCTTTCTCTCTCCCTCCCTCTCTATCTGAAGATAAATGCAAAAATGTCCTCAGGTGAGGATAAAAATTTAAAATTAAGTATAGGAAAAGAGCCCTGGCCGGCTTGGCTCAGCGGTTAGATCATCGGCCTGTGGTCCGGAGAGACCCGGGTTCGGTTCCCGCTAAGGGCATGTACCTCGGTTGCAGTTTGTCCCCGGCCCTGGTTGGGTCGTGTGGGTGGCAGCCACTCGATGTGTCCCTTTCACATCGATGTTTCTCTCTCTCTCTTCTTCCCACTCTATCTCAACAAAATGTTGAAAAATGTCCTCGGGTGAGGATTACCAAAAAAAAAAAAAGTATAGAAAAAGAAAACTCATGAAAAAGAATAAGAAAAGAGAAGAAAAATGGTAGAATATGAAAAAGAGAGAGAAAATATGCAAGAAAAAAAGGGAAGGAAAGGAAAAAATAAAGTAGTAAAAAGTATAAAGAAAAGAATGAAAAAGAAGGAAGTGGAGTTCACCTCAGCAGTTTATTGCTTGCTGCACTCTTCCTTTTGATACTTGTGAAACTTATTGGACCTTGCTCTGTTGTTGTCTGAAGCTGAATACTTGGTGTGACAGTTATGGGCCTCCCAGGAGGATCTCTGGTGCAAGCCAATGTCAGAAGCTGTTCCACCTGGCCCTTGGCAACCTGTCCAAAGCTCGGCAGGAGAGAGCCCCTAGTCATCTGATGGGTGGGGTCTCTGGAGCTCATAGGTTGTGTCTGCTGCTGGTCTGGCCCATTGAGTTTCCTCATCCTGAGCTTCTCTCCCTTCCCCAGTGGAATTTCACTCAGGATTTGTATCCAGGATTTGCCAGGAATGATTCAGTCTTCAGTTGAGATGGTGTCCACAACCTGCAGGAGGGGGGTGTACACTTCCTCTCCTTCCTGGAGCTGTGTGGGCTGAAATCACAGGGGAGCTTGGATCTGCTTCCCTACAATGCATCTGCAGAGCCTAGCACTCACCTGCCTGGCTCCCAGACAGAAGCCTTTCCAGGAGACACAATCTGAAAATCCTAGCTTGTATGAATATACTATTTCAGATCAGCCACACTTCAACTGGTTTTTGAAGCTGATTGCTTTGTAGTTTAGCTGCAAATCCAGTGTGGGGCTGAGAGAGAGTGGACCGAGCTTCTAGCCACACTACAGCCGTATTAGAATCTGCTCCAGCATAGATGTTCATGCAGTACTGATTTGTTGATGCTGTCTACCTAGAGCATTGTGTTCAGAAGGATTCTGAGGCCAAGTTCAGGCTCAGATGAATAATGCTATTATCAGTGAACACCTGCCAATTGATGCAGGAGGGAGGAGGGGTGGTTTATCTCCTTTGTTGTAGGTCACTTAAGAATCCTGTGCTTCCCAAATCCATCTTTGCTCCTATCAGTTCTTATTTTGTTTTAATGTGTCAGTGAGATAATCAGAGATGCACAGCTGAATTGTAAATGAGAGGAGTGCTTTATTCACTGGCGGGCTGCGGGGGGCATAGTCTCCCCAAATCAACAGCCCTGAACATTCTTGCAGTCAGCTTATAAAGACCAAAACCACGTCCTCTTGACGCTACCTTGGTGTCATTAAGGGGGAAATTGATACAGATAGGGGGCATGAGGAGCTGTTACATAGGTCAGGGTAATCATTAATCACAGTATTTTTATGGTTTTTCTGGGTTTCCCAAGGCTATTACTAATCCCTTTATCTTCATGGTTCTGGTTCCCTAAGGCCATGGTGTTTAGATGAGTCAGGGAGTATACGTGTGGGTCAGAATGGATTTACTTAAATTAAGTAGTCTACTTCAATTTCACATCTCACATGCAATCTATTTTTGGACATGTGCATTTTGCTTTGTTTTCCCTGAGTTCTTAGAAACATTACCCTCTTAAATCCAAGCCTCTTGTTGGTTTACTTGGGGCCAGAGGTAAGGTTACAGCTTCTCCATCTGACCTTCTTATTTTTGTTGAAGACACATCCAGATTGAGTCTTATTTTGTTTTTTTGAAACAGTATCAATAGAAAATTGTTTGGATTGTGTTTACCTTTCCATGAATTTCTTTTAATCACTTATTTTCAGTTTAAGGCTGGTGGTAGCCATATGGACCCATCCGTATAGGGCCTTTAACAGACATCTGTTATCTCAACAGTGAGTTTTCCACTTATTTCCATTTCAAAATCATACTCCCTTTGAATTCACTCATTCATTTTTCTGTTTTGAATTTCACTGTCTTTTAGCTTATTTACAAAGCAGAGGGTATCAATACTCCTGAATGCAATGCATGATCAACTCAAGAACTTCAGGCCATTACTTTGGTCTACTCACCAAGGGCTTCTGAATCTCATAAATGACCATTTACAATATTAAGACCCCTGAAGTGTACATTAAGGATTCCCAGACATAGGTCCCCCCACAGGGAGAGGTGGCGTTGGTGTTCCAAGAACTGGGAAAGAGCAAAGACACATGGAGAATGGGGGAGGGGGGAGCGAACATCTAAGAGCTAGAAAGCAAAGGTTCAAATAAGTGGTCAGGATCAGGTTGGGCACCGAAGCGTAGAGCAGGCCCACTGGCTGTGCTGGCACTAATTAATGGGCTGATGTGTTTCTGGCTTAGAATGTGTTTATAGATATTATGCTTCATTGTACCATGTATTTGGAAACATGCAGTAGTAGCTGGGGATGTCTTTGGCCTCAAAGTGTTTGCAACATGGTATGGCCTAAGGCAATTGTGATGAGCTCTTTAATGAGTATTTTAAAAGTGAAAGTGCTTTGGAAATTCAAAGAAAAGTGAATTCACCCCCTTCCTTGCACATACTTTCCAGTGGGGACTGGAGAACCAAGAAGGGGTCCATGAAGGAAGGATGTAGGTGGTGGGTTCTAAGAATAAGGAAGATTTGTCTTCCCCTCTTCTCCTTCCCGTTTTCTAAGTCTCTGTTTAGAGCTTCCTTCTTTGGCGGCGCAGACTTGGGTTGTGGTAAGGAAGAAAGCTGTGCTGTTCCTCTTGCCAGATCTGTAGGAAGGAGCATGTTTTTGTGGACGCCGGGTTCCAGGGGAACTGGTTCTGCTCCTTGGTCATAACCTGCCCACAATGTTTTCCATAATTGCTCTGCGGTGTGCTCACCAAGCAGAGCAGCACACACACACCCTTTCTGAGACGCACCTCCCGGCAGAGCCCAGCCCGACTCCTGGCACAGGGAGGCAGAGGTGGGAGTTGGTTCCTGGCCAGTCCTGCAGAGTCAACAGAGGCGGCTTCCAGAGGCAACCGAGGTCCTAATTTATGACATTAGTCCTGCCGCTCAGCTCTGAAACATTACGGGGAAGCAGCTATAAAACATTACAACAAAAAACATGTGGCATTGTCACCTGGGGACTCCCCAGTAGTGTGCAGGGCTTCCCGCTGGAGTGCTGACTAGCGGGACGGCCATGTGTGTTCAGTAGCTGTCCTCATGGGACTGGAGTCATGCTGTGCCTGCTGCGGGCACCAGGGTCTGCAGAACATCCCTCTTCAGGCTCCCAAGAACACTTTGTTTCCTAAAATTTACCGGTCAGACCAGACTGGTCACACCTATGATTAAACCATAAGGAAATATTTAAGCAGTGTCCTCATTGATATCTGACATATTGTCATTGGTATCTGTAATGTGATATGTGTAAGGGAAGTGCATAATGGACGCTGTGTTTTTATTATGATTATTATCTTATTTTGCTGTCATTTACAGTGGCAGATTTTCAAGCTCACTTGATTGGAGGGCTTCTGGCCTTCGTGGGTGTGGCTGTGTTTGTCCTGTGCATCTACAACACGTTCAGGATCGACATTGTGCTTTGCTATCGAAGTGCCTTCCATTCCACAGGGACCACAGAAGGTAAGTGTGTGGAAACCCTGAAGAATGCCTCATCGTGGCGCGTGCTCATCTCATTCATGTAACCATTGTAAACACACTTCATCGTATTTTCCTAGTTTGCCTTTTATGTCCTTGACAAATTCAGAGGAAGGCATCTCCCTGGAACTTCCCATACTTCCAAGAAATGCTTTTCCCAAGACAACCAGCATTGTTCAGTGGCTGGGGGAACGAATATTCCGGGTCCCACTGTAACCTTTCTAGAATGGATCTCACATCCTCTGGTATAAGAAAAAGAAGAAAACTCCTTGAGCAAGGTGCTCCTCACATGCAATGTGCCCTCAGCACCGGGGACGCACAGACAGGTGGACACATGGACAGGTGGACACGGGACAGGTGCACGCACGGCCAGGTGGGTGCCGTGGGGCGCCCTGCGGCCTGTGGTTGCAGAGCTCGGCACTCCTGCCTGAAACATTCAAGTCTTCAGCTCTCACGTGTAAGAGAGACAGACTTGAGTTTGAATTTGAGTTCTCCACCTGCTTCCTGGGTGATCTTAGAGAGAGATTTTATTTTTATCTTTCTTAGTTATGGAATAAAAAAAAAAGGAAGGAAGAAAGGGAGGGAGGGAGGGAGACAGGGAGGGAGGCAAGGAGGAAGGGAAGGAGGGATGGAGGGGGGAGGGAGGAAGAAAGGGAGGGAGGGAAGAAGAAAAGGAGGGAGGGAGGGAGGGAGGAAGAAAAGGAGGGAGGGAGGGAGGAAACAGATCAGAGCCTGTCTCACAGAGTGCTGTGTGAGCAACTGAGTTGGAGCCCAGGAACACTGGGCAGGGACCTGGGCAGAGGCGGGCTCCCTTGTTGTCTGGAGGTCAAAGCCAGCTGCCCCGCTCCGCTGCCCAGAGACTGCAGCTGGTCACAGAGCCTCCGGCGAGCTCTTCAACACGGGACCCTCTGTGATTCCAGGCTCTGAAAAGCAGGCTTTCCCCATCGCTGCGGTTTGAACTGTGATACACAGGGTGGGGCAAAGTAGATCTACAGTTGTGAGTATGCAAAACAGTTTACTTTTTATTAATACTTATTATTATTTTCCATATGAACAACTGTAAACCTACTTTTGCCCCACCCTCAGACAGGAAGTAATCTATTCAGGCCTTGAATGAAGCTTTAGGCACGCTAACTGGGTGGAAAGATTAACAGAAGGCTGCAAGAAGTCGTGAGCTCACACGCACGGAGGCACACGCATGGAGGCACACATTTATGCCTTTAAAGCAGGACCGAGCAAAGGCAGCCCGAGCGGGAAGCGGGAAGCGGTGTCGAGCGCGTCTTAGAGACCCTGGCAGAGAGCACTGTGCCCGCTTTGCATATACGAGAACACGGTTGGAGTTGTGGCCCACATGCTTGATGTAACAGAGATGTCCTGACTTGGACTTTACTCTACATTAAATTTTAGAATTCAAAGTTGGAAGCCTTTTTGTAACACAAAAAGCAACCAATTTTTTTATTCTCACCCAAGGACATTTTTTTTTTTTTTTTTTTGCATTTTATCTTCAGATAGAGCAGGAGGGAGAGAGGAGAGAGAGAGAAACATTGATGTGAGAGAGACACATCGAGTGGCTGCCACCCACACGACCCCAACCAGGGCCGGGGACAAACTGCAACCGAGGTACATGCCCTGAGCGGGAACTGAACTTGGGTCTCTCTGGTCCACAGACCAATGCTCTAACTGCTGAGCCAAACTGGCCAGGGCACAACCAATTGGCTTTTGATGACACAATTCAATTGTGGAATTCTGGCTTGGGGTGTCCAGTGCAACTTCAGCGCCTCCGTGCTGGGGAGGGTCCGCTGGATGTGGGGTCTGGTCCCTGCAGAGGCCACCCCGCTCAACCTGCCTGTGCCTGAGCCCAGCTGCCCTGCTGGGAAGAAACCTCAGCGCACCACCACCTGCCCTTTTGGATACACAGATGTGAGCGGTTTGGCTGGCTGGCTGCCTTGTGTCTGCTGACTGACAGCAGACTAGAGCAATTTAGATGGTGTTCCCAGAATTCTGGCCCCGTGAGATTTGTTGTTTCCTTACTCACTACAGCTCCCGGGAGCATGACTAAGGAGTGGGTGGAGAAGTGGTCTGTTAGTGAAGTCAAGTTTAGCAGGAAGACAAAAAAGAAATACTGACTCACCCTGAGCTGGGGAAGCTGAGCAGAGGAGAGACTCAGGGAACCCCATCCTTGCTGAGCCTCGGCTACAGCCCAAATTCGGCTGAGGATTTGGAGATGGGAACCTATAGTCAGCGTGTGGTCCTCTTCCTCCTTGTTCTTTTTTAATCCAGAAAATTCTGTTTGCACTTTGTGATTAAATTCTCGACAGCTCAGTCTATGTGAACTACCCTGTAATACCTCTTGGAGTGCTGGCTTCAAAAGCGAGCCACTGAGGAACCTGATGATGAGTCCCACATGCTGTTTCCAGCCTGGCCTTCAGAGGCTGTTGATGCTTATTTGGGAACATGGGAAGTAATGGAGGGCAAACACAGATGAGAAGGAGGAGAAACTGTGTCCTTGTGATGACATATTTATCCCACAGATTAGTCAGGCTTTTTATGTGACTAATAGTTACTTGTATAAATTCACAGTTTTATAGGAGTCATCAATTGGCCAAACAAAAGCCCATTGTTCTGTATATTCTCTATTCAGTCACGAGATGCTTCAGTGATTCTCCTGCCAGGTGTGCTGGGTACGAGATACACAGATGGATTTACAGATCTCAGGCGATGTGTGTGTGCCTCACCTTATTCCAAGTACATTTGTGGAGAAAGTTCACGTAGAACAGAACAATTGAAACCCAAACCAAAAAAGGTACAGTGAACACAGGGAAACAAAGGAAGAATAGTAAAATAAAGTCAGGATAGAGTTTATGACAAACCTTGGACAGGTCTTATTTTTTATTTTTATTTTTTGGTTAATTCTCACCTGAGGATATTTTCCCATTGATTTTTAGAAAGTGTGGAAAGGAAGGAGAAAGAGAGAGAGGAGAAACATCGATGTGAAAGAGACACATCGATTGGTTGCCTCTTACATGCCCCAGTCGGGGATGGAAACTGCAACCCAGGTATGTGCCCTTAGCTGGGAATCAAACCCGCAACCCTTCTTTCCATGGGCAGATGCTCTAACCATGGAGCCACACTGGTCAGGGCCTTGGACGGGTTTTAAAAGTGAGCTTGTGTTAGAAGCAAAAGCAGAAGCAATTACAATCTTCATTGCATGCTGTTTACAGACACTGTTTAGTTGCTCCTGAGAGCATATGGCCTTCTTGGGGACAATTTTCCAATAAACACTGTTTTTTAGGGTGCCCTCATTTTCAAAGATGATGCAGTAGACCTTGTGTCCAAACACGTTTCCAAGGCGAACGGAGCAGGTTTTATGGGCTTTACTTCCCGTGCTTTCATCCATGTTGGGGATGCACCAAGCCTCATGCTGTTCAGTACGACACTCACACAGAGGCCAGATTGATTGGTTCTCAACATTTACCAGAATCAGGGGAAAGTAAAGACCTGAATAATTTTTCATGTAATCTTTTATAAACATCAGTTTAGGTAAATACATTTTTGTAGTTTTGCCAAAAGCCAATAAGGGCATGAGCAGATACTGTAACATCAAAAGTAGAGTTGAAACTTCTTAGAAAATGAAAGATATTCAGCCAGACCTGATGAACTGTCCCCACCGAGTGGAGCGAGCCGCGAGCACTTCTGGCCCTGTTCGCTCAGAACACTCCCTAGTAGGTCACTGTCTGCAATGTTCTTGATGAGACAGATGGTTGGGAGCGTCCAACTCATTGTTATTTGTTGCTATTTGCTCAACTGCTGTTCTTACTACAGTTGAGAAACCGATGACCTCAAAACTTAGCAGCGTAGAACAAGCATTTATTTTGCTTATGGATTCCATGGGTCAGGAACAGGGACCAACACAGTGGGCAGGGCCTGTCTCAGTTCCGTGAGACTGGGGTTCCCTCTTCATTTTGATGCTGGCTTCTTTTGCTGTGCAGAGGCTTTACAGTTTGACCCAAGACATCATGCTCAATTAATATTTGACCAAGGAGACAAGAGCATATAGTGGAGTAAGGACAGCCTCTTCAATAGATGGTGTTGGGTAAATTGGACAGCTACATGCAAAAAATGAAACTAGGCCATCAACTTACACCAATAAACTCAAAATGGATGAAAGGCTTAAATGTAATCTGTGAAACCACTAAAATCCTAGAAGAAAATATAGGCAGCAAAATCTCAGACATCACACAGAACAGAATTTTCACCAATACATTGCCTAGGGCAAGAACCAAAGAAAAAAATTAATAAATGGGAATACATAAAACAAATTAACTATTCTTATTTGTATAAAAACTAGGAGAACATATGACTGCATCTTTCATAAGGCTTACCACCCCTCTTCAAATCTGCCCGTCAAATGAACTTGCACAGGGGACCAGACGAGGCCAGCTGCTACCCGGCTTCCATGAGGCAGACTCTGAATTTCCACACAGCCAGGAGCCTGCCCATCCCAGCTTACAGGGAGACGCCCACTCACAGTCAAGCCCTGCTGAGCTTTCTTTTTTTTTTTTTTTTAATCCTCACCCGAGGACATTTTTCCATTTTTTGTTCAGGTAGAGTGGGAGGGAGAGAGAGGAAGAGAGAGAGAGAAACATCGACGTGAAGGGACACATCGAGTGGCTGCCACCCGCACGACCAACCAGGGCCGGGGACAAACTGCAACCGAGGTACGTGCCCTTAGCGGGAACCGAACCCGGGTCTCTCTGGACCGCAGGCTGACGCTCTAACCGCTGAGCCAAACCGGCCAGGGCCCTGCTGAGCTTTCTTAACCAGGTGATCCTGAGCAGGGCACACACCGCCGTCCTTCCTGCCCTTTCCAGCCCCTCACTGTTTTTCTAAACTCCCCCCACCCTTGCATGTCATGTTCTTTGTGAATTTTGTTCCAAAAAAAACTCCAGAATACAGGGGATTTTTCCTTTCTCTCCTTCTGCTCGTTCAGTCATTTGCTATCTTAAAGTGCCGGAGGTTCTGTTTATTTCTGTCTGTGAATGGCCTTCCCAGGTGGATCTTGCGTCTTGCTCATCTGTACAAGGCGAGCCCAGTGGCTGTGACCTGTGGTTGCTCAGTGAACAGGTGCTCACTCTGACGATGACGACATGGGCTGTGTTTGCGTTCTCAGGATGGCGCAGCCACCTGCTGGAGTGTGCTCAGAGGTCTGATCCCCTCACAGAGCGGGGTGCAGTTCCAACGATGGGATTCCAAAGGGAGAGTCTCCCCTTTGGCCTGGTGCACTTCGCGGTACTCTGCAGAGGACCCGTGTACCGTGACATCAGTGGAGACTCAGTTGTCACTTCAGCTACTACAGGGGGTCGTGTAACAACATGAACAGTGGCTCTGAGGAGACTGGCCACGGCTGAGGAAGACTCGCTGAGCCAGAGATTATCTACATAGAAAACCCCCCAACTGAAAAGTAAAGAGAACAAAGACTGAAACAAAAAAAAAGTCGAAGGACTGTGTACAACCACAAAAAGTGTAACACATGTTTAATAGGAACACCAGATGGAGAAGAAGGAGAAAAAGGAGCCAGCAATGACCGCCAATTTCCCCCAAATTAATGTCAGACAGTAAACCACAGATCAGGAAGCTCAGGGACTCCAAGTGAGATAAACATAAAACAAAACAGAAGAACCCTCACCTACACATAGGCATTATTTTCAAACTACAGAAAATCAAAGATAAGGAAAAAATATCCCAAAAGAAGGCAGAAGCAAAAACAATCACCATTAGAGAAACGAAGACGTGAATTGTGTCCGACCGCTCAGAAGGGGGAACCGACGTGCGGGTGTGCGGAGCGACGCCCTGCGGTGCTCACGCGGGGTCTGTCCATGGCACACTGACATCATCGACGTGCGGGTGTGCGGAGCGACGCCCTGCGGTGCTCACGCGGGTCTGCCCGCGGCACGCTGACGTCATCGACGTGCAGGTGTGCGGAGCGACGCCCTGCGGTGCTCACGGAGCCGACGTGCGGGTGTGCGGAGCGACGCCCTGCGGTGCTCACGCGGAGTCTGCCCATGGCACACTGACGTCATCGACGTGCGGGTGTGCGGAGCGACGCCCTGCGGTGCTCACGGCTCTGCCCGCAGCACGCTGACGTCCTCGGAGCCGACGTGCGGGTGTGCGGAGCGACGCCCTGCGGTGCTCACGCGGGTCTGCCCGCGGCACGCTGACGTCCTCGGAGCCGAGCAGCAGGGGCGTCACGGAACCGCCTCCGCCTTCTCGGCGTCCAGGCACGAAGGCGGTGGCAGGAGCCCTTCCACCAGCTTGTCCCTTTCTTTTTCAGACGGGAAGCTGTACGACGCGTACGTCCTGTGCCCCCAGCCTCCACGGGGGCGCAGGAGCCCCGATGTGGACGCGCTGGTCCTGAAGGCCCTGCCCGAGGTGCTGGAGAGCCAGTGCGGATACAAGTTGTTCATACTGGGCAGGGATGAATTTCCTGGTCAAGGTATGTTTTAAATGAGGTAGGAAAACAACCTGGCCGGTTTGGTTCAGTTGTTGGAGCGTCAGCCTGGGGACTGGAGAATCACGGGTTTGGTTCCCGCTAGGGGCACTGAATGAATGAATGAATGAATGAATGAATGAATGAATGAATGAATGATTTAGAAAAACAACAAATGAATAAAAAAAGTAAAGGAGACTTCCTCTTGCTCCTTGCCTTCCCCACCAAACCACGGGAAGTCTTTTACCCCCAGTTCTCCATCCTGAGTGGAGGACCCAGCTCTCTGCTCTCAGGAGGCTCATTCCTGGGACAGGATAACTGGGATCCTGGCTGAAATAACAGGACTCTCACTCGGAGCCAGCATGTGGCTAACCATTTCCATAAACCCGTGGTGGGCCACACAGCCCTGGCCACGGGACTAAGAGTGGTCAGTTCCCTGTGTCCTCATGATGAACTGCTGAGACTTTCCCATCAGTGTGAATAGGTAATGAGCTCCATCTAACACTGATTTCCTAAATCTCAACCGCCTAATCGTCCACTGCTCAAATAAAATAGGTCGTCACTTCTCTCATTCAATAGCAGGGTAGCTCTGAGCAAGCAACATCCTGAACATCCCATCTGTCACACGGGGATGAAAATGCTTCCCTGATCTGGTTGAGAGAATTAATTGAGTGTTAACCTGAGCGGGGACCAGTATGGAGCTGTGTACATATTAGACGTTCAATGGACAAATATTTCCCCCTTTGAAGGCTATAAAGCCAATGGCTAAAATTTCAAATAAGCATCGTTTTCTAGTCACCAGGAAATCAAGATTACTACCTTACTGCATTTAATAGTGGCTTATGCTGGGTTGATTTAAAAGATTTCTAACTAGTTAGGATTTATAGGCTACTCATATCCACAGTGAGACCACAGCTATATCTTGGCCCAGAACTTTTCAAGTTACGAGGTCATCCTCCATGAGGAAGTGAGAAGTCAGTCCAGTGCCCGTTATAAACACCTGGGGGAGCTCTGGTTTCATAAGCACATTGATGTTCATTCCTTTACTTCTTTAGCAAATATTAACTGAGCATTGGCTATGGGCCAGGTAATTGTCTGGGCTCTAGGAATATTAAAATAAACCAAAGAGAAAAAAGAGTCCGCTCTTGAGGTTGTGGTCTATTCTTATATTCTAAGTATAAGGAAGACATAAAACTTGGTCTTCATTTCTAAAAAAGACCAACTTTTGTCCATAGCTGGACATTTCAAGAACTCTCCCCTCCCAGCCACCAGAAGCCATCAGAGTATGTTATTTGGTATTTCAAGTTACTCCTATAAATCCTGGTCATTTCAATAGCTATAAAGCACAAGAGGAAAACATGAATAAAGATTAAGATGACATTTGAGCTAACTGCATTTTCTTATCCTTTTAAAATCTGTTTAACATCTGTAACAAAAGTAAATTAATTTAAAAAAATAATAAAATAAAATCTGTTTAATTTTCTAAAATATGTTCATTGTTGTATACCAGACCTTCAGCTGAGCCTGGGATAGGAAGCTAGGCATGATAGTTCTGAGCGTTCGCAGTCTGTGTGGGCTGAGGAAAGTGGCATACCAGCAACTATCAAAACGTGATTCACAATTATAAAAGACGAATTTTTCAGGAAAAGTAAGGAATTTTTCACAGAGGAGATGATAAATATAAAACACAAAAGCAGCTCTTGTTAATCCATTCCTAAGTCATGTATATTTTAACATTCTTACTTAGTGCACCTTTCTAGTGTTCTCAAGAGCACTGAGATCTGGGCTCTTTTATTCATGAGGTCTGCTCTGTCTCTTTCTCTATTTGCAGCTGTGGCCAATGTCATCGATGAAAACATTAGGCTGTGCAGGAGACTGATCATCATCTTAGTTCCTGAATCGCTGGACTTTGACCTATTGAAGAATATGTCAGAAGAACAAATTGCTGTCTACAATGCTCTCATCCAGGATGGGATGAAGATCATTCTGATTGAGGTGGAGAAGGTCAAGAACTATGCATCCATGCCAGAATCAATCCAGTATATCAAACAGAAACATGGGTCTGTCCAGTGGAGCAAGGACTTCACAGAGGAGTTACCATGTGCAAAGACCAAGTTTTGGAAGAAAGTGAGATATCGCATGCCACCCAAAAGGTTTCCACCTCCTCCAGCCAGCTGCTGAAGCTCATGCTCTGTGACCTCGCAGCTGGCAAGTGGGAGGCCAAGGCGGAGTTCTTTACCCAATGATGGAGCATTTGTCCTCATGAAGTGGCTCACAGTTGGACAAAATGCACTATATTCAGGCTATTTGCTCGAAGCTTGTCGTTGTGTGCTTGTGAGAGGGACTGTGTTTATTTGCTTGCTTTCATTAGAGATATTTCTTTAGGGAAAGATATCATCTCTCCAGAAGGCCCTCATTAACTTCTTAGCTCTGAACTCTTATGAATGTTTGCTGAACATGGAGTAGGTATAGCATTTGAGCCCCTGAGAAATGGGACACAGGAAGTTGTAGAGTTGTAGTCCAGATGTCAGGTAGTTAGCACATGGTGTGGCACCTGTGAGGCCAGCGATGGGAACCTGAGTACTCGGGATGATAGGAAGACAGTCTGTGGGCTTGGAGAGGGCTGGCAAGGATAATGGCAGCTTTTATGCCTGACCAGTATCCATAGGGCTCCAGTCCTCAGTGAATATTTGCTGTGTCTGTTTGTACTCCTCTAGTGCAAATATACAGCCATGACCACAGCCTTAGCAGGTTGATACTGGAAGTGACATAGAGGTCACCTAGACCAATGGGGTCAACAGTGGGTACACTGGAATTGTGCATTAATCACCCTCCTGGTGAGCCCCCTGCTTAGAAAGACTTCATCTGTCAAACCAAAATAAGTTATAATTCACTTATTTTTCCAACTGGCTCTGTTGGCCAGAATTCTGAGCAATGGCTATCACCCTGAGATGATGACATTATAGTCCCAATAAAACAAAGTAATATTTCAGTTATCCAGTGTACCTTCATCATAGGTCAGTTTATGATTTAACAAGTCACAAAGACTTTTGATATTAAAAACTAGCTGTAAAGTCTTATCACAACTTTCAAAGACCATAATGTGAGGAGCTTATATATAATCCAATGTTCATTCTGTAGTTGGGTACACTGAGCCTTAATAAGTGGCCTGCTAGCACACAAAATTAATATTCAGAAAATGGTGGCATTTTTATACACTAATAATGAACTATCAGAAAGTGAAATGAAAAGAAGTCTCATTTACAGTTGCAACAATAACAACAAAAATGTCCCTGGGAAGAAATTTAACCAAGGAGGTAAAAGACCTGTACTAGGAAAATTATGAGATACTGAAAATAGAAAAAGAGGAACATATAAATAAGTGGAAGTATATGCCATGTTCATGGATAGGAAAATTAACATTATTAAAATGTCCATACTACCCAAAGCAATCTACAGATTTGACACAATTCTTATCAAAATACTAATGGTGTATTTCACAGAACTAGAACAAATATTCCAAAAATGTATGTGGAGCAACAAAAGACCCTGAATAGCCACAGCAATCTTGAGAAAGAACAGTTGAAGGTGTCAGATATCAAACTATACTACAAGGCCGTGGTAATCAAAACAGCATGGTTTAAAATGGACATATAGAACAATGAAACAGAATAGAGAGCCCAGAAATCAACCCATGGCTTTATAGTCAATTAATATTTGACAAAAGAGGCAAGAAGATACAGTAGGGTCAAGATAGTCTATTCAATAAATGGTGTTGGGAAAATTGGACAGATACATGCAAAAAAATGAAACTAGACCACCTCCTTAAACCATACACAAGAATAAACTAAAAATGGATTTAAGACTTAAATGTAAGACCTGAAATCATAAAAATCTTAGAAGAAAACATAGACAATAAAATCTCAGACATTTCTGGTAGCAGTGGGTTTTTTTTTTTTAATATTCCCTGGGGCAAAGGAAACAAAACAAAAGTAAACAGATGGGTCTATATTAAACTAAAAAGTTTTTGCACAACAAAGGAAACTGTCAACAAAATGAAAAAACAACTTACTGAATGGGAGAACATATTTGCCAATGATACATCTGATAAAGGGTTAATACCCAAAATTTATAAAGAACTTCTGCAACTCAACACCAAAAATAACAAAAATCCAATTAAAACATGGGCAAAGAACCCGAATAGACACTTTTCTAAGGAGGACATACAACTAGCCAATAGATATGTGAAAAGATGCTCAATGTCACTATTCATCAGAAAAATGCAAATGAAAACCACAATGAAATATCACCTCACACCTGTCAGGTGTTTGTTTCCTCCAAAAATAAAAAATGGAACTGCCTTATGACCCAGCGATTCCACTTCTGGGAATATATCCCAAGAAATCCAAAACTGTTTTGAAAATATACACTCCTATGCTCATTCAGCTCTAGTTACAGGAGCCAAGATTTGGAAACAGCCCAAGTACCCATCAGTAGATAAAAATGCTGTCATGCATTTACACAATGGAATACTACTCAGCCATAAAAAAGAAGGAAATTTTACCTTTTGCATCACTTTGGATAAACCTGGAGATTATTATGCTAACTAAAATAAGTCAGTCAGAGAAAGACAAATACCATATGATCTCACTTGGATGTGGAGTTTAATGAACAAACTAAATTGACAAACAAAATAGAAACAGACTCATAGACATGGAGAACAAACTGACAACTGTCAGAGGGAAGGAAGGTTGTGGGCTGGGTGAAACAGGTGAAGGGATTAAGCAAAAAACAAAAATTGGCCAACTATGATCAGAATGTTTGTGTCTCGTCAAATTCATCTGTTGGAATCCTAACACACCTATTTCATAGTATTAGTTGGTGGAGCCGTTGGGATAATCAGGTCATAAAGGAGGAGCCCTCATGAATGGGGACAGTGCCTTATAAAAGAGAGCCCGTGGCGCTCCCTTGCACTTTCTGTCAAGTGAAGACATGGAGAGAAGTCGGCCACCAGGAGAGGCCCTCACCCAGCCATGCAGGCACCCTCATCTTAGACTTCCCATCTCCACACTGTGAGAAATACATGTCAGTGTGTGCAAGCCACCCATCAGGGGTATTTTGCTCTAGCAGTCTAAAGAGACTGAGGCATAGTCCTAATAGCAGGGACTGGAAGGGCACCAGCCCATGGCAGGACAGGAGATGAAGGCAGGGCCAAGGGGAGTGGGAGGGATGAGTTGGGAGAACGGGTCCCCAGTATGGAGGGACAAGTAGGATGTATTAGGGGGACAGGGCCAGGTAGGTATGGGCCTTTCTTCACAGGCTGTGATGGTTTGGAGTGTCTGGTGGGGTCTTAAGTGGTAAGAAGCATAGCCTGCACTTCTGAGAGTGTATGCTCCAAAGTGACCCAGCATTACACATGTGTTCACCATTCTCAGGTCCTGACTCAACATCTAGCTCCTCTTCATTTCATTTATTATTTGCTCTTTAAATACTTTTAAATAGTGGTAAAATATATGTAACACAAACTTTATCATCTCAACTGTTTCTAAGTGTCTAGCACAGCACGGTGTGTACAGCATAGGGTGTACAGCCCAGTGTGTACAGATCAGTGTGCACAGCACATTGTGCACAACCCAGTGTGCACAGCGCTGTGTGTACAGTCAGCAGTGCCATGCGTCTCCAGAACTCTTTCATCTTCCCAAACTGAAAGTGTGCCCACGAAACACTGACACCCATTTCCCTCTCCCGCCAGTTCTTGGCAATGTTCTACCTTCTGTCTGTGAGTCTGGCTACTCTGGGTACTGCACAGAGGAATCCTGCAGTGTTTGTCCGTTTGTGACTGGCTTATTTCACTTAGCAGAATGTCATCAAGGTTCAGCCATGCTATTTGCTTCTTGTTTCATTATTCTTATCTAGTCTCCCTACCTTCTTTCTTTCTTCCCCAATTGAAGGGTGCAGCGAGAAAAGAACAGAACCACTCTATTTTATTATGAGGGCAAGGACCACGCCCAGAAGTAATAAGCAAACTGGGGTTCTTCCAATTAGTTGTTTATTATCTCTTTGCATCTTGGTTTATCACGTTAACGTGAGGATGATAATTCAAACGAGCTAGTTAAAGTAAAATGACCTGTTATTCATGGTGCTCCCAAGAGCACAATGCTGGCCACTAATGTTACCGCTGTCCACCCCCTGGTCCTCCTCACGCGCCTCTTCTCTGGTTAGGCCTTGGGGGCTGTCAGCAGTGCTGAGTGGGGGTGAGCCGGAGGAGGTCTGAATGGCACTTCGCCCTCCGCGTGGTCCTTCTATGGAAGGAGAAGAGATAACCACAGCAAGTGGAATCCACTGACGTAGCCACCAGCTGGTCTGGACGACAAGGTGGAGGGCTTCGGCTTCACTAGAAGGCTGACAGCAGCCCCCACCCCCGCGGGGGAAGAGAATGGGACCAGGGGGCGTGCGCACTGGCAACCAGCTGGGCACGCTGAGCCCTGTGTGCCCCGAAACGCGCTGTGTCGTCCTGTGTCCCTCCTGCGTGCCACGCGTTCTCGCCGCAGGGTGCTGTTGGGTGGGATTGCGGGTACCCACTCGGGCTCAGCTAAAGAGGAGACCGGAGGCTGAGGGTGGGGGCCACCCTGGACTGTGGTAGGCGCCTGCTCCTTTCCCTCTCTGTCCGCAGTGAGAAGGAAGCTATAACCATGGGGAGTATCAGAAGTCCATGAAGTATTTTCTGTTTCAGTTTTGTAATGTCTATATCATAGTTACATTTGTTTGGCACTCCTGTGAAAATGTCAATTTTTAAAATCAATCTAGAAAATAAAAACATTTCTATTACAACCAAGTATCCAGTTTGTCACTATTCTAATAATTATGCTACCTGAGGGTGGTGTCACGCGACACACGGCAAGCCCAGCCTGTGATCATGCTATCGGTGGAAGGGGGGCATCACTTTCCCTACTGAGTGGGGTCCTACACAGTCTCGAGAAGAAGGCTTTTCTGAGACTGGCACAGGAGGATGAGTGGTTTCTATCTGTGCGGGTTTCCTGGGTCCCGCTCCCTTAGTCCAGCCCTGAAACAGGTGCAGCCGGGGCTTGGGGCGAGCTGGAAGCAGATCCAGCGCACGGTCTCTGCTCCCCTGAACTGGGTCTGCCACAGCCTCGGGCTCCCGCAGTCCAGCCATCCATTGTGGGGGTCCGCACGGCTGTGGGTCCCATGGGTAAATGTAGGGGAGCCAGGAGAGTGCATCCGTCCCCTGCAACAGGAGTCCCAAGAGAACTGAGAGCACGAGCCAGGAGCGTGAGAGAGCGAACTTCTTTGTTTACATTAGTATCTCAAAGCTTCCCAGGTCTACTCTGGCCAATGACCTGTTCCCAGGCCTGGCTGACAGGCAGGTACCTTCCCTGTTACCCGGACTTCACTAGGCAAGTTGTATTCTCCCTTCCCTCGGTGTTCTGTGGGGAATGGGCCCGTAGC